GTATAGTATTCACATTAGAACTGGAAGTATCTTTGGTTTGTTTTTTCTCCAAAAGATTTTCCATTAATAATTCATTAGGTAAAAGTTTACTATACCCATACCGAGTATCTTCACCATTTTCCCAGTAAATTTCTTCTCCTGTTTGGTATGGGGGTAACTCAGGAGCATCTTTTTTATCAAAAGACCCAACTAGATGATAATGTCTATTATTTTTATCTATCGCTTTGAGCTTCAATCCATATGCTGTGTGTAATACTGAATTCAGTAAACCAAGTTTCGCCCGATCTGTTTTTAATCCCGATTTTTTGGCTCTGTGTAATGTATCTGTATTATCAAAAACTCGAGCCATTTTTGGAACTAAATCCTGAAGAAATGATATCGATTCAGGAGTATTCAAACACTTTTTGATATCATCAGTTTTATGTCTTACCCTATCATCAATGTCTCTAGCTGGTGTACAATTCCTTAGTAATTCCAGGCAAATTCGATGTCTTTCAGCTCGGGTGGCAGTTATAAGTCTATCTTCTCTGTAATCTTTACGAGTGATAGCCTCAACAGCTGTTTCATTGTCAGCACCAGAATCTCGTAACTGCCTATAAGCTCTGAACCATTTCATATGATTATAATTCCCATACTTTGAAATGAATTCCTCTAAAGAGCGTATCTCTTCTAAAGTCTTCTTTGGCTTGTTTTCCAAAAATTCAGCAGTCTCATGATTAACAATAGTAGCATTAGTTATTGCTGATATCTCCTCTGCTTTAATGATAGAAGAACTCACCTTCACCGTTTGAGATAATGATATTGTATTATCTTCAGGTTTAGGAATAGATTCTATAATCGAAACACACATGCCAGCTTTTCGAAGGAAATCAATCATTCTCCAACCAAATAAACGATAAGATCGAAATTTTTCTAACATATAAGCCACCCATAATCGAATAGTTGGTACGTTCTTATTCCGGATTATAGAGTCTATATCTGGAAATATTCCTCTATTTTGAAGTTCTCGGGGAAGACATTCACGTTTGGCATTCAACAACCATTGGAATAGTCCTTTTTCTATAATTGGAACATTAGACGATCTTTGTTCGATATGACATATGTAATCTTTGATGCATCGCATATGAAATAATATCTGATTCATTCCAGCGTTCGTTTCTATATAACTGTTAAAGATGCAGAATGCTCGTTCAAACTTAGGATTGGTGCAAGACACTCCTATCTTTAGAGTACTAGTATAGGCAACTAGGTCTACGTCTTTCTATGATTCTTCTACGTTGCTGAAGTCATGAGCCTTTTCCACCGGATCAGACTTGCCATGATATTCCTTGATCCGTAATTCTGGAAAATCAGTCTTAAGTGCACGAATAATTCCTTGCACATCCTTTCTGAAGTGGCAGATGAGTGATGCACTAGTTCGATTTTCAAAAGGTAATGAAGACATCTGCTTGGCCCAATCCCAAAGTTCAGTTAATACAGTCTCTTTATTAGGAGCCAAGCGGAATGTCTTACCTTTTTGGGGTTGATAAGTATTATGGATAATAGAGAATGGTTTATCCT